CTAATGGGTAATTATAGGTATTTATAAGTTCAAATGAGGTATGGACAGTGAAATAGAGTTTTTCTAGACTCGAAACTAACATCTAAAGCCAAAATTATGAACGTTCGAAGTTTCTCTTATTTATAACTACACTAGTCTATATTAAAATGGTCATAATGCCTTACTTCAAACATTAAATAATACCAAATCGGTGGCATTTGAAAGAAAACTCATTGACCTACAATTTCATATGTCACGGCTTACTTAATGCATTACGTACTAAAAGATATGGCAGCATAAATTGTTTGCCTTCAGGAGAGGCACACATTGATTGTATGTTGTATTTTTGAAGAAAAAAAATTGTGGTTGTTTGTGATTATTTGATAAATTGTGTGTGTTAATTCGAATGGGTAATTATAGGTATTTATAAGTTCAAATGAGATATGGACCATGAAATAGAGTTTTCTATACCCGAAACTAACATCTTAAGCCAAAATTATGTAAGTTCGAGGTTTCTCTTATTTATAACTGCACTAGTTTCTGGTAAAATGGTCATAATGCTTTACTTCAAACATTAAATAATACTAAATTGGTGGCATGTGAAAGAAAACTCATTGACCTACAATTTCATGCGCCATGTCTCTCGTAATTTATTACGTACTAAAAGATATGGTAGTATATATTCTTTGCCTTCAAGAGAGGCACACATCGATTGCATGTAGTTTTTTTAACCAAAATTTTTTGTGGGTGTTTGTGATAAATTAATAAATTATGTGTGTTAGTAGGAATGGGTAATTATATGTATTTATGAGTTCAAATAAGGAATGGACCGTGAAATAGTGTTTTTCTATACTCGAAAGTAACATCTTAAGCCAAAATTATTAAAGTTCAAAATTTATCTTATTTACAACTACACTAGTCTCTGATAAAATGGTCATAATGCTTTACTTCAAACATTAAATGATACAAAATTGGTGGCATTTGAAAGAAAACTCATTGACTTACAATTTCATATCTCATGACTCACTTAATTTATTACGTACTAAAAGTACTAAAAGATATGATAGTATACATTGTTTTTGCTTCCAAGAGAGGCACACATTGATTGCATGTAGTTTTTTGACCAAATTTTTTTGTGGGTGTTTGTGATGATTTTATAAATTATGTGTGTTAGTTCGAATGGATAATTATAGATACTTATAAGTTCAAATGATGTATGGACCGTGAAATAGATTTTTTCTATACCTAAAACTAACATTTAAAGCCAAAATTATGAACGTTCGAAGTTTCTCTTATTTACAACTACACTAGTATCTCGTAAAATGGTCATAATGGTTTACTTCAAACATTAAATGATTCAAAATAGGTTGTATTTGAAAGAAAACTCATTGAACTACAATTTCATATGTCATGGCGCACCTAATTCATTACGTACTAAAAGATATGGTAGTATACATTGTTTGCCTTCAAGAGGGGCACACATTGATTGCATGTAGTTTTTTACCAAATTTTTTCTGGGTGTTTGTGGTGATTTAATAAATTATGTGTGTTAGTTCTAATGGGTAATTATAGGTATTTATAAGTTCAAATGAGGTATGGACCGTGAAATAGATTTTTTTCAATACCCGAAACTAATATTTAAAGCCAAAATTATGAATGTTCGAAGTTTCTCTTATTTACAACTGTACTAGTCTCTTGTAAAATATTAAATAATACAGAATCAGTGGCATTTGAAAGAAAACTCATTGACCTACAATTTCATATGTCATGGCTCACCTAATTCATTACGTACTAAAAGATATGGTAGTATACATTGTTTTTGCTTTCAAGAGAGGCACACATTGATTGCATGTAGTTTTTTGACCAAATTTTTGTGTGGGTGTTTGTGATGATTTAATAAATTGTGTGTGTTAGTTCGAATGGATAATTATAGATACTTATAAGTTCAAATGAGATATGGACCATGAAATAGAGTTGTTTTCTATACCCGAAACTAACATCTAAAGCCAAAATTATGAACGTTCGAAGTTTCTCTTATTTACAACTACACTACTCTCTCGTAAAATTGTCATAATTCTTTACTTCAAACATTAAATGATACAAAATCGGTGGCATTTGAAAGAAAACTCATTGACCTACAATTTCATATGTCATGGCTCACCTAATTCGTTACGTACTAACAGATATGGTAGTATACATTGTTTTTGCTTCGAAGAGAGGCGCACATTGATTGCATGTAGTTTTTTAACCAAATATTTTTGTGAGTGTTTTTGATGATTTAATAAATTATTTATGTTAGTTCGAATTAATAATTATAGATACTTATAAGTTCAAATAAGGTTGGACCTTGGAATAGATTTTTTCTATACCTAAAACTAACATTTTAAGCCAAAATTATGAACGTTAGAAATTTCTCTTATTTACAACTACACTAGTCTCTCGTAAAATGGTCATAATGGTTTACTTCAAACATTAAATGATACAAAATCGGTGGAATTTGAAATAAAACTCATTGAACTATAATTTCATATGTCATGCCTCACCTAATTCATTACGTACTAAAAGATATGGTAGTATACATTGTTTGCCTTCAAGAGAGGCACACATTGATTGCATGTAGTTTTTTGAAGAAAAAAAATTATGGTTGGTTGTGATTATTTGATAAATTATGTGTGTTAGTTCGAATGGATAATTATAGATACTTATAAGTTCAAATGTGGTATGGACCGTGGAATAGATTTTTTCTATACCCGAAACTAACATCTAAAGCCAAAATTATGAACATTAGAAATTTCTCTTATTTACAACTATACTAATCTCTGGTAAAAAGGTCAATATGCTTTATATTAAACATTAAATGATATAAAATTGGCGGCATTTTAAATAAAACTCATTGTCCTACATTTTTCATATGTCATGTCTCACCTAATTCATTAAGTATTAAAAGATATGGTAGTATACATTGTTTGCCTTCAAGAGAGGCACACATTGATTGCATATTGTTTTTTGACAAAAAAAATTTGTGGGTGTTTGTGATGATTTAATAAATTATGTGTGTTAGTTCGAATGGATTATTATAGATACTTATAAGTTCAAATGAGGTATGGATTGTGAAATAGAGTTTTTCTATACCCGAAACTAACATCTAAAGCCAAAATTATGAACGTTCGAAGTTTATCTTATTTACAACTACACTACTCTCTCGTAAAATGGTCATAATTCATATGTCATGGCTCACCTAATTCATTACGTACTA